GAAAGGGAAAGTGAAAAAGAAAGCCACCAGTTGCAGGAGTCAAATTGTGGTCGGTCATGTGGGAGTCCAGCACCTTAACCACTGTGCTATCTGCTGGCCCCTAAAGGAAATTCTTTGAACTGGACACGTTTTGCAAATCAGGCTCCTGGAATCATGTGCACTAACGTGTCAATGGTCTTCTGCAAGGTGTGTTAGAAAAGTGACTTCATATTCAAATTGTAACTCCTTTTTCCTTCTTTTTTTAAATTTCAATTTCTTTTACACATTCATTCACATGTGTCACTTAGCTTGCAAAGTGAATATTCCAACATGTATACATTTCTCACCAATCCAGTTGACATTCTGTAGCTGCCAGGCTCAACCAGGCTTCGGTTGCCACCACAGGACACCATAAACCCATTGTCCCTAAAACTGCTTCTGACCCTCCCTTAGCAGAATTAAGAGTTACAATTCATTTCTATATCCTCTAGTCATTTGAAACTGAATAGAAAATGGTTATAAATACTAGACACAGGGTGGGAAGAGGGTAGGTGAAGGAGGAGAGTCTGCGGAAGGACAAATTAGGAGAAAAATAGGCAAGGCATTTATGGGACAAAGAAATGGTTTATTATCTGCAGAAGAGGATGTGTATTGTCAACTGGAGAAACCTGACTACACAAGACTCCAGTAACAACCTCTGGTGTGGAACAGGCCCCGTAGCACAGTGGTTAGGCACGGTGCATGGGGAGCTGGGTTTCACACGGCCGACTGTGGTTTGAGTCCTGGCTTGAGCGACATGCCAGGTACATGTGCATGTGCACCCAGGAATCTGATGGGATGACAAGACGGACTAGGGGGATGGTGGCCTGACCTCCCCCCACAGGGGTCTGGATTCTCTCTCCCTTTCTCTCTCTGGCAAGTACAGGCAACCTCTGGCCGTAGGGAAAACAAAAGAAAACACCCTATTGTTATCACAACATATTGCTGGAGGAATTAACTGTGTCCTGTGTGATTCCAGTCAGGGAAGGTTCTCAGAGTGTCCTTGGAAGCTTGCACTTGGTTTCCCCTGGACTTTGTCCCATTTATTTATTTAAAGGTTTTTGCTATAGGGCACCTGTGCTCATTGGAGAGACAGAGAGAGACAGTGAGAAGGAAAGTGAGAGATCACCCGTGGGGGGATGGCCATGCTGCAATCCCTTCTGCATTTTCCTCTCTGGATTTTGGACATGCATGCACACATGCCAAGTGTGAGTTTCAAGCCGCTGGATCTGGGACTTGAACCATGTGGGAGTCAGTGCCTTAACCCCTGTGTCTCTTGCTGGCTCCAAGTCCCACATGCCTTTTGCCTTTGCTGATTTTGCATCACACCCTTCATTACGGTAAATCAGAGCAGCAAGTACAATTACAGGGTGAGTCCTGGGAGCCTCTAAGGGACTCATCTACTCTGAGGTGTCCTGGGGGTCCTGGACGCAGTCCCTTGTTAAATGCTGGTTCCTGGAGTTGTATAAAATCATCAGTGACTAGCTTGTCTCAGAATTTATGAACATATTTCATCAAAATGATTTCCAGTAGTAATACCTGAGAAGGTCAGTTAAGAAGGAAAACCTTTTTTTGTTGTTGTTGTTTTGTTTTGTTCTAGAGAGCATGTGCTCACTGGAGAGAGAGGGAGAGTGAGAAAGCACCCCCTTGGGGGATGGCCACACTGCCATCTCGTCTCCATGCTCTTCTCAGGATTTTGAGCGCACACACACACATAGGCGTGTTTATCAAGTCACAGGGTTTGGGATTCAAAGGGTGCAGATGGCCATGAGGGATCCAGCTGCCTTTACCACCATGCCACCAGCTGGCCCAAGGAAAACTCTTTAAAAATAAATTTACCAGAAGACGTGAGAAGGAGAGGGCAAAAGCAGCCCCCACTGGGTTGTGCTCATGCCACAGTCTCTTCTCCCCACCTCC